AGACTTCCACGACGGAAAGGTGTTAAAAGCCCCAAAATCAGTTGTGTATGTGTAGGTTATTTTTTTCTCCTTCAGATTACGTAGGGATGGCCGATCCCCCGTATTTGAAAGCATTGACTATATCTGGAGCCTGCCAATACCAGCCACCGATACTTGAAAAAAAAAAAAAGGACTTTGAGCAAGTCTACGACCGTCATCGTGAAAATCAGAGTTGATTGCTCAATGTCTAAATCGATGTGAGCACGTCTCCTTCGCCGAGGTGTTCCATCGACCTCACCGAAGCAGACAAATTCAATACCGAAGCCTTTCTATGGACACGAAAGGCCGACTTCTCACAAGTATTTTTCACAAGGCTGTCTGTCTACATGCATTAGTGAGCACATCTCCTTTGCCAAAATAATCCACCCACCTCACCAACAAAAACGAACTAAACTCCAAGTATCTTAAAACTTTTCTAGCTAGTTTTCTCAAATCGAGTTCACATCACCGTCTTCATTTTGGTGCCCACTTCCCCTTGGCTGAGATATTCCACAATAAAATTCAGCTGGATTTTTTTTCTCCATCCTTTTGACGTGTTTTTTTTTTTCCTGTGTGTTCTGCCTCATTTCGCCACAATAATCCACGATCGTATGCGCTTCCAACAGCGCAGCCGTCGTCCCGACAGTTTCTCCTGGGCGATCGCAGCCTCTCGGATCGTGGGAGGGAAGTCAGCCGGGCTCGCGTCGCCATGACAACCACCTCTCCACAGATCGCCAGCGCTGTACCGAGCGGTTGGGATGCGATGTTCCTCCGATGGTGTGAATCTGTCAGGCGCAGGAGACGCCATCCAGCTGTCCACCAGATCCGCGTCTCCACTCGCACCGCACACGCAATCGCAGGTCCACCTCCACCCAACCGACAAAGACGAACCGGGCCGGCTGTCTTTTGCCTCGTTACGTCTCCCCTCGCATTCGCTGCCTTGTGGACCACCGCTACGTCGTAAGGGGATGCAAGGAAGTGGACAGGCGAAAGGCGCGTGTGCGCTTTTATCGATTGTTCAAACAAGCAACATTTACTTTCTTCTCCTCCCTCGTGCCGGACATTTGATCGATTCCCAAAAGGAGACTGCTTGAATCGCTTAGCCTTCATTACGTTCGAGAAGAAGCATGGCTTTCACGCATAAGGGCCCAGACGTGGGGGAGGGGAGGAATAATGTGCTCCCCGCTGACAATTCATCTTCAGGGATGGTTTATATCCTGTGAGTCATAGTCAGTCTAGCATAAGGCTCAAGAGGTCATACAATGGGAGTTCAACCGACATGATCTTGGAAAATCTCCCTCCAAACGGCACTTGGCACCAGTTCACATACAGCCATCGAACCAGAAATGAACCAAAACCCGTTGTCCGATTGAAAAGGTTTGTGATGCCATGACACAAAAGTGGGACAGCCAAAGCCAGAAATTGTTTGGTTATAAATATAGAACCAGGAACGATCCAATGTTGTATTTTTACAATGACCAAAGAACCAGAAATTGGCTGATGTTGTTTTTTTTTTTTTTGGTAATGACAACCGTCGAAACATAGTGGGTCCGGTTCTTGTATTGTGATCATCACAGAGCCATATATGGGCCAACATCACTCCCCCCCGCCCCCGCCATTTTTTTCTTTTGGTATGATAAACATTTGTTTCCACTCACCAGTAGAAGGATCAAATGACAATGACAATCACATCAAATCAAATGACAATCAAAACAAAGTTTGGCTTGTTTCTTCCCCTTTTGAAACTTTTATTTCGGGCAAGTCCCACCAGTACTGCATCGTACACCATGTGTTGAGATATGTATCAAATTGTCTTTTATTGGAGAGCTGGATATTGCTCTTCACGATAAAAATCAAATCAATCAAACCAGAAGCGACAGATAAATTGAGGCGCTTATCCTCTCCTCTCACACGCATGTTCCATCTCGCCGCATGAGCATACTTGGACAGCCGAGAGAAAAGGCGGCTCGCGGCCATTTGCTTGAGTCGCGGGTACGTGCTAAGTGAGCCGGCAATTAGCATGTGCTGTTCTCGGGGGTGGGCTGACTTTTTTTTTCTTTGTGGCAGCGCGAACACATTTTCTGGGACAGCCTGTATTAAAACGCTTGGAATTCAGAGGCGACAGACTGCGAGGCCTGACAGGAATGAAGAAAAAAAAAAAAACAATTTCACGGCTCAAGTGTGAGTGAGAACAGTGCTCATTTGACACTAAATCAAGGTGGAACAATTGCATTACACGACGGAGAGGTTCCCAATCAGCAAAAATCATGAAAGCAGCGTTTGGATACAGACTTGGAAAAATGGTTGCCGTTCATCATTATTGGTCTGTGGTGATTCCAGGCCAAGTCTGCAGAGGTCTTTGTCCCCTTCCCAGTATGAGCCCGGAGCCTCGACCCGAGCCACGTCGTCTGGCTCCAGGGTCTCCACTTGCCATCCTGTGTCACTGCGGAGAGCAAAAGAAAGCGATGAGACGTCACGCAAACATGTCAGAGCACGTCGACACACGTGACACAAGCGCTAAAATGCGCACAGATTGTAAAGCGCAAGAAATGGCAGGAGGGAGAAAAATCAATTCGAAGCAACGCTTACTTTGCCCAACTAAGTGGCAGCTTTTCAACGTTCGAGAGACCAACTCAGGACAAACAAATCAGTTTGCGCATTCAATCAGCTTTAAAGTCGCAGGTCGTCTTTCTCGTCCTGCATACTCTGGCGACTACCTAAAAATGATTCAAATACTGTCTGGTTCGTTGTTTCCATCACAGGGGGGGAGAAAAAAAAACAAAACAACAGTTCCCCTGAAGGGCAAACCACCTAAATTGTGATTGAACACCAAATTAGTCAACGTGCAAGGCTTACGCAGAGATGCTGCAAAAGCCCCGGCCGGGAAAGACGGCTCACAGCACAGAGACACGGCAAACTACATTTTAAAAAAGAAGCCAACGGGCGCTAATTACCCAAGTCCAAATGCTTACATTGTCGACATCAGCTTATTTTTTTTTTTTTGATCACGTACATTTTGGTACATAGAAAGCATGTAGTTTGTCGTGTGTGTGGCAAAAGCTTGCGTTCTGCAGTTAAGTTGATTAAAGCATGACCGAGCGGTGCTACTCTCCAAACGTTCATTTAACTTTTTCCTGTCCTGTAGGCAGAGAGTAAATTGGGAGTAATCCCTCAGACAGCGCCCTTCCTGCGCCCCCTCCCCCTGCTACTACCGTTTCCATTCCGGGAATCGCCAGAGTCCCTTTTGCTGCCGTTTCCTCTCTGTCGTAGGGGGCCTAGAGCAACGGCTGCTCATTAGTCACTTTCTCCAAGACTGCGGTGACACTAGTGCGCCGCCCCCCCCCCAACCCCCACGGCCGATACAGCGAGAGACGCCACTCGCCACGCTTGTCAAGACGCGAGGAGATCATCAGGAGCCGCCCGAGCTTTGAGACGTTGGGAACATCGTCGGCGTGTTGCCGCATCTACAGCACAGTTATTAGCGCAGGGAAACGTACCCGCAGATAAGACTTCGCCGCTCAAGGTGCTCAACAGTCACACTGAAGTAACGTCACAATCAATGCCATTCCAGAGTGAAATTTAAGTGCAGCATTGCTTCAATGCAACAATGCAAGCAGATGGAAACATGAATGTAGCAGCAGCTCCCCTTCCTATTTTTGGTAAATATTGTTGTTTGAAAATTGAGCTACGAAACTAAAACAGGTGGGCGGGAGAGGGGCGGGGGGCATAAAACTATCCAAGGATTAGAGGAAGACGCTGGCAATAAAGACGAGTGCCGTCACAGCGTGGTGGTCGTTCTTAATGGAAATGGCGGGGTGGAGGACCAACCTGAGGGTCACGCGGCCTGCCTCCGGCAGCGCGGGTCTCCCGGCACTCTGCGAGAGGCCTAGACGGGCCTGGGGGAAGTAAAGAGCCCAAATCAATACCCGGTGGACAGAGCACATGGAGATACTTGTGAAATGGAGCTCATGCAACATGTCTACAAGAGAACATCTGCTCATGCAACTCCAAAGTTATTGGTAACTGTGTACAGGTGGAAGTTTTTTTTTTTTTTTAAATATTACAAAAACAGCTATGGACTCAGATTTGGCTTTCATCATTTTAGCAAGAGTTGCATTACCACTAGCCTGATGGTTGGTTAGTACACAGAGCAATTATTTTAGTACATAAAATACATTGATGTTGATTTTTTTCCCTTAACTTTTTGATTCTTTTTTTTTTGTCTTGGGTTACTACTTTTAAAGCAAGTTTATGTCAAAGGACCCAAAAAAAAAACAAACCCCCCCCCCCAAAACAAAAAAAAAAAAAAAAAAAAAAAAAAAAAAAAAAAAAAGCACACTACCAAATTAAACATTTAGGGTTAGGTTACCTTTACAGTCGAGTTGTCTAGGTTAAAAGCCTCCTCTCCATTGCACTGCCATTAGTGTGTCATTCATGACAACGAGGCCTAGATCCTGAATGGTGGTTTGAATTCAGTTAATTTGCAGCGGCGAATGAAAGCAATTGTCATTAGCGGTTAAAACGAGACCACAGGTAAGAGGATTGAAAAAATCGGATACATACCCAGGCAATCAACGCTTTACAACTCTACACATTAGGAAGCTATCCGGCTTATTTTAGCGGCCTTACCTCGGGGTCCTTTTTAAAAAGTATAGAAAGAGAGAGAGAGAATAAGTCGAGCTCTTTTGATAATCCATCAAGACATCATTTAGGAGGATTAAAGTCTGCACACGTCAAAGCAAAAACTCCTTTAAGATTTAAAAAATGCGCTTTTGAAAACATTTCAGATTGGACTAGGACAGGAAACAAATCAAAAGCAAGTTACGTTTCATAGAAAACCCACTAAGCTTTATTGACAAATTGCTGCAAAACATCTTTTGGACAGATTTAGTAACCTATTTAGGCAAGCGTACACATGTAGCATAATGCATTTTATGGAGAGGGTACAGAGTAAGTACAGTTAGGAGGTTTTAAAATATGTACAAGAGTTGGGATTGAGCTTCAGGATCCCTTCTCTATGGAGAGAGAGAGAGAGACGACCCATGTGGAGATTTGTGTCCCAATCCTTCGGATTCTTCTCTTGTTGGGCATGCACTTTATGCAGAATCAAATCACAATCAGGAAGACCCCAACTGTTTGGTAGCATAACAGGAGGCCATTTTGTGCACAGAGAATGTTAGAATGTCGCCGGGCTTTTTTTCTTTTTGTTTGTTTACATGAAAGTCAAATAGAGGATATGAGGACAGGCCATCTCAACAGTGTCTTATTAGGGCTATATTTCAAAACTCAGTGACAAATATTGCAGACTAGAGTCTAAATGAATGTTTTAGAACTATTTAAAACAAAACATCACAAGGAATGAAGAAATGCTTTCCATTACCTTTAATCTGAGACTTGGTTTTAGATTACTTTTTGTTTCTACATTACAGGCTTTTTAATGAACTATATTAACAGAATTTTGAAATGTAGCCTAAACGGGAATCTGCAACTGAACCTTGACAGATTCTGTATATATATATATATATATATATAAAAAAAAAAAAAAAACAAAAACACAATTAAAACGTATCATTTAAGACAAGTGGAGAATGAGCCATTAGTTCAACTGGAAGTTACTACTCCAAAACATTTTTTTTTGTGAAAAAGGGAAAACCAAACAATGCAAAAAAGCCAGAGGGAGAGGGAATGGTCAGAGAAATAATACAGGAAAATAACCAAAAAGGAAATAACTCTAGAAATCACTTTGGTTGCGCATGGTATGCGTATTGGGGGGATGTGGTGTGTAGCCTAATCTTAAAACAAACAAAAACAACCATCTGATTTTCCGTCCCCAGTATTGTAAAAAGTCCAATTGAGAGGAAAAGAAACAAAAGCAAAAGGAACCAAAGCCAAAACGGACAATTACTTGTGTCGGGCTGCTTAAAGCGAGTGCTGCCGTTGTCGACAGGCGCTCGTCAGGGCAACCCTGTAAGGGGGAGGGCGGCTCCGCTTCAGTACTGTTGGTACGGGTGCTGCCTGTAGGCCGTCTTGGCACCTCCTCTGGCCGCCGGCGCGGCTTTGCCCGGAGCCGCTCGCTGGGTGCCGTTCCAGTCATCCTGGGCTGAGGACCACACGTGCGCACCGTTTCAAAAACTTGTGAGAGGGAAACTAGTGCAAGAGCATTTGACAAACACTCTCGGCAAGGACCAAATAAATGTGTGTACCTGTGTATACACTTACCAAAGTTTTCATATGACTCTGCAGACTCTCCGTGTCCGTAGTCATAATATTCTGCCTCTCTGATGTTCATACGTGGGAAAGAAGAGGGGAAGGGGAAAAAAAACAAAAAAACAAAAAAAAAAAAAACGGTCTCAAACCAATCTCAAGTACCAGCTGAGCGAAAAATCGAATCGGTTTCCACAAACAGCCAAGTGGCATTCGGGTTGGACTGGCGTCCGACGGTTCAAAACACATTGCAAGCAAAGGTGGCAGGTGAGAAAAGACAAACGTGTGATCGACTCACGCCTGCGGCTGGCTGTAATAGCTGTCGTATGACTGGTAGGTGGTGTCGGCGTAGCTTTCATCGTAGGCCTGGAGAGGGGAGGAGGCAAGATGGGGGTGAGCCAGTCGGGAAGAGGCGTGTTCTCACGCACTGTACTGAACAACAAGAATCTTGGCCGCATCCACATGAGGCTGCTATGAAAGCACGCCGGCGACTTACATATTCCTGATAGCTCTCTGCGACCGCGGCGGGAGTGTGCTGGTGGGGCAGCATTCTCTGGGGCGGTCCGGCGGCAGAGAGCCTGGCACCGCGGGGCGCCGCAGCTCCCCTGGCGGCGGCGGGCCCTCCGCGGGCTGCCGGGGTGCCCCTTCCTGCTCCTCTCGCACCCCGAGCTGCGCCACGAGGGGGCATCCCCCTTCCCCTGGGACAAGAGAACGAGCTCAGCGACAAAGTCCGCCGGCACGGTCCCCGTGACGCCTTCGCGTCTCGCCCCCGCTTCTTACCTGTGCACTCCCGGGGGCCCGCCGCGTCCCCGAATTGGCATGCCTCCTCTTCCTCTGGCCCCGAGCTCCTGGCCTCCATTGAGGTAGCCCATCTCCATGAACTGCTCTTGGCAGATATCGTCGGTCACATCCTGCATGCAGAGCAGAAAACGAACGTGACTTGACATCGAAGCGGGCACTCGCCGGAATGAAATTCATCACAGAGCCAACTTGAAAGCCAACCCGATAACCAAAGAACCATCTCCTTTGATTGACCGAATCAAAACAAGGCACCAAGTCAAGCAAAGTGTCTGGTGACGTGTTCATGTGCCACATTCTTACACATCTAGGAGTTCCTGCCTCCCAGAGTGGGCATGCTTGCTTTTGGCCCTCCAACTCTCGGCCCCGCTTCCAGGCGGGAGCCAGCGCACACAGTCAAACACCCGCTCCTCCTTCAGGGATGTTCGGCCCTTGCCATCAAGGTCGTCACCCGTATACTTGCAAGAAGGTTTTTGCACAATCATGAAAACAAACACCAAAATACAAAGCTTCCCCGGCTTTGTAAACACAACCGCACCGCCCCCTCTGTATTCCTCGACGGAGCCAGCTGTGACTGCACGATACTTGATTTAATTAGCGGATCAGCGCGTCGCGTCCGTCTGCCCAGGCAGCGAAAATCCCACCACATAAGCAGCCACTTTCATCTGGGGAGCAATTTCAAGTGTGGCACTGTGACCCAATCAATTCTTTTCATATAGCAGACCTGCATCAGAATGGAGCCGGAGCGCTAAAGACAGAACATACTAGCAGAATGGCAGCTTTCCATTACCTAGATAGAGGGGCTGGCTAAAAGCAGGAGCCATTCGACTCAGTGCGAATGGACCTGTGACGACGTGTCGCGTCGCCGCCGCAGCATCTCGCGGGCCAGCTGGGTGACAAGTCACTTGAGGCGTTAGATGAGCTCAGTGAACCTCTCTGTAGAAATCATCAAGCATGGGTCGCGAAAAGGACCCGCAGACATTTGACAGCGAAGACGAGATTTCTATTGTCCACACCCATCCAAAGCTCCAGTATGAGGACAAGTGCAGCTAATCAATCAAAGGAACAGTGCAACCACTAAAGCCAATAGGCCCACAAGTGCTACCGTTTGGAACTTAACCACATGGCTCTCTGAAAACACACTTCAAAGGACCAAGCTCAACTGTAGTTTGGTCCATTTGTCCTAAAACCGCGTTTGTACTTCCAAGCAGATGCTAACAATGCATAGGACATTCGCATAGGACACTTGCCAACAACCGTCGCTCCGACGTCAAGCGTCTTCAAAGGGGTGAGTGGCATGACTTTCAACACTGCCTGCAGAGTTCACAATTTGGCATATGGCGATGACAATTCACTGTAAAGCACAACTCCGTGGCCAGGAAGATACATGACCTTAATGGATCACGTGACCAGAATCCAAACGACAGCCATAAAACCTGACCAATTGCAGACATCTGGCATCTTTTATTTTACAGATCGCAGCTTGAACAACATGACGACCGGTTTAGCTCTTTCCTCTTCAGAATGCTGCAGCCGAAAAAAAAAAAAAAAACGTAAGGCCTGCCACAAAACCCAGAGTGGAGCGTTGTTCATGAGCAAGCGCATAGCATTTGCTCCAACCGGATGGACATGCGGTTCAAGAACATCAGCGTAAAACAAATCCAGGGAGTGCATGCGCCACAGCGTGGCCTTAAGCCCACAGCCGTCAGGGCGTTAAAACATCTCTGGAGGAGAAACGGGAATAGACAGACCTGAAGAAGAGTGTCACGGACTGTTCACGCGCTAACAGAGCCACCATTATTCACACTGCCACCCCACTAAGAAAGAGTACCGTGACTGAACGAGGGCGCTTTGTTCAACCTGCCAGTAAGCCAGGAGCTTTTTCAAATTAACATTTGTGTGAAAAGGAGACACGGACAAAATGCATTTTCAACAAGCCCGAATGCAAAGGTCCCTTGCTTATCGCGGTTCATGGGGACCGCGACCACCCGCGGAAGACCAAAATCCGCAAAGTAGGGTTTGCACCCCCACCCCGGCCCGCCCCCCTAGGAATTTTTTGCTAAGGGTTTGTGGGTACCAGCTTGTTTAAAATATGTCAACAGGATTTATACTTTACATATTTGAGACCAAGTGCACATTTTTACTGAAATCTTTCATTCTCAAACTTTATACAGTAATTAACATTCATCAGCATACTGACAGACTAAGGCGACGACTTGGCTGCAAGTTAAAAAAACAAAAACAAAGCACAACTGACATCTCTCTTCATATGCGTCACATTTTTGACAAGCATTCATCCCATGAAAAATTTATCGAGGTACGAAAGCCGACAACGTGAGCTTGACAAGCCAATCCTGTAGAAACGGAAAGGAATGACAGACTATGACAATGTAACCGTGTCGCTCGAAAAAACACGCTGCGCGCAACTCACAGGAAACAGGAACTTCTTGACTTCCTCCATGGCGTGGGCCATGCGCAGGTAGGCTTCGGGCAGGGGGGCGTACACTTCGACAAACACGTGCAGCTCCATGGTCAGGTGGGCATATTTTGGCTCGCCGCCATTCCTCAGTTCTTCCTCCTTCAACGTGGAAAGGCGACATTCACTTTTAGGGCATTGTCTCATGGCGTAGCCTAACGGCGACCCACATTTGGCGCCTATTCTAAATGAGCTGATGCGTAGCGGAGTAAAGCCTCCTTTGGGCCCTGCCACCTGGGCACAATGTCAACGCTTGAGGTTTGCACATGTGCCAGATGTGCGCCGGCTCCGGGAAACCCAGTCTACAAGTGTGCCGTTGCATGTGTGCATGGGTGGGAAATGGGAAATTACTGCAAGCTTTCCCCTGAATTTCCATGGGAAGTTATGTATGAGAATTTGGGAAATCATGAGGGTAGATTCATTGAAAGATATTCAAACGTAGGCATAAATATATTTTGGAAAAAGGTTTATCATTCAGAAAAATAATAAAATGAAAAAGCACAATATTCTTTAAAAAAAAAAAACACGAGTGGCGAGTCAAGTGTTAACCCCGGCCCTCCAATTCAAAAGCCCCACGGAACTCTTCATCTCGCAGATTAGTAGATGGCATCTGACTGAAGGGTGGGCAAAAGCTGACTGGAGAACATTCAAACCCCTTCATGCTCAGCAGCATTTCTCTGACAAGGTTCATCCATGAAAATAAGAACTAAAAATGTTTTTCCCTTTCTTCTTATCTCAGAACATTTCTCTCACGTCTACTCAAGTGTCCTACTTAGAATCAACCTTGAGTTTTTGTGAATGCCTGCTTTATTCACTGTCAATCCCATGGAAAGTTTGCGGCTGTGTTCATACTTTAGCTTTGTCTCGCATGGAGCCCTTGCCCAACACGGAGATCTTGGCCCCGGTTTCCTCCTGCAGACGCTTGATGGTGTTGCCTTGGGGTCCCAGGATCTTGCCCACGAAATTGAACTGGAGAAGCAAAAGCAAAGCAGAGACATTTGGACCGTTGCGGGGGGGAGAAAAAGTTTCAGTGGTCAGGGTACATGTGCATTTTGAAGCCTGAAGTAGCGTATTGACTGAGGACGTCCATGTGAGCCCACGAACGCTGTAAGGCAGACAACTGTCGCATCCCTATCATGTGCTCCACCTGACCCGTGTGGTCTGACAGCTGGGCGTTATGACTTCTGGTTTGAAAATACAAAGACTAGACAGAGATCAGCTTTAGAGGTTCCACTGTGCTTTTACAAACGGCATGCAAATGAGGGATTAACTTGCACCATTCTTTTAGTGCCCACTTAAACCCTCCCGTGTATTTCCCTCACAGCCACATGACTTAAACCAACAAAGCCGAGAGTCCGGGTCTCGTCATGAATGGCATTTATACTACGAAGACATTGGCCCGTTTAGCGAATCCAAACCGAACGGAGGATCCAAAACGGCGGGGCGGAACAGAATTCTGAGTGGCAGAGCAGTTGTGTTAGAATTTGGATGTCTTAAAGGCTATTTTATAAAACGACACTGCTGGAAGCTGTAATCACGCCACCGAGTTTTAAGATCAAGATTAAGCCAAGTAATTTGGGACACCGGGTAACCCCGTAGCTTTATGTGACTGAACCTCGACGGCGAGAGGATAAATTGAATCACAACGGGGAATGAAGAGGAGAGGAAGACGGGATGGAAAAAAAAAGCTCACCTTGGGGTACTGTTTCACAGGTATGAGGACCCGCTCCTTGAGTTTGATGAACTTGTTCGTGAAAAGATCCAGGTAGGTCTCTGGCTCCTTAGCCTCGCCCTTCTGGATCCTGTCAATCTCTGCAATCGGGGGAGGGATTGGTTCACTTCATGTGATCACGCAAAGAGACAGCGGTACCAACAGGCAGTCGAATGACCGAGTAAGCATTTTAATTTGAAGACTCCAAACATCATGAAAGAATTATACTCGGGGAAAGAGTGCTAAAATTGCATCACTGATATTAGTAAAGGTTTAAGCGCAGACTATACCTTGGAATGGTCACCAGTATATCACGCGACAATTTTGAACATGGCATATACAGATGAAAGCTGTCCGGGCGAACTGCCATCTTCTCCAAATGAAAGCTTCCCGTGGTTTTTAGCTGAATTGATCAAATTCATTATAAACGCAGCAGATGGCTTCTGGTCATACCGCTACAAGTCATCGTACGACGCAGTTTTGCATCCCCACCAACCAACCAGTAGGCAGACTTTCGTCTCAAATACGCCGAAAGATGATAGTTTGAATACATTTAGTGGTGCTGCCCATTGACCACCAATTTTCACAAAACATTTTTTTCAACAAATGACTTTTCCACCACTCCGACGGTCGAAAAAAATATTTTATGATTTCTCACCACCGTCACAATTCTGTATAATTCCCTTTCAAGTGTTTTATTGCACGTGTATGATGCAAACACGATCAAATGAGAAATCGATCGTAGTACACACCGACTACAAGTCTGTGAATGTGCAAAGGGTGACATAAGAATGTATCACATCAAGTAACAGTTATCCACAACCGGCCGGCTTGAGTCAGAATGTCCTTTAATTGACTACCATCACCACTGGTGGAAAGTTGGAAGCGCTAGCTGAATAATCAGCTGCAATTCTTTCCCTTTTTTAATAAATGTGTCCAAAGTCATTAAAAAGCAATTTCTCGGTCTGTTTAAAACGTTGTAATCTGTGCCTCTCCTGGTGGGCTGGGTTTGCATTCTTTGTTCATAAAACGCAGTGGTGCCTCTGGTTCAAAGGGTTTTAATCTTGCTTAATACTTACGATCTCGGAGTGTTTTCAGACAAATTTACTGCAGATATTTCGTCACTGCCACGTCAGTGTATGTTACTGATAAACCACGGTACGTTATGACGCGTACGAATTCGTCACCGCCGTACGAACGGAACTCCGTCGTATGTGCAGCGAACTAAATACAGTAATGCGTTTCGAACTTTATTGAATTTTCACACCGATTACATTGGTCCACACCAGCATGAAGCAGTCGCTCGCCACCACTACAATTAGTTGTTTTAAGTCGATGAATCAGTAGGATAAAGCCGAATACGAGCGTGCTAACTTTGCTGCGAATCGGACAAAGAAAGTCAATGGCGGTTAAGCGTGCGTCTTTTCCTCGTACCACTTGAGCACCACCAGTTACTTTCAAAAACCCCACGAATTTATAGGAAAGCCCCGGCTACTTACCCACATTTAAGGGCTTAAGAAAACAGTCAACAGAAAATGCGAGTGCGGTCGACGTTTGCTTAAAGGCGAAAGAGACGACGAAAGCGCCTTTTTGACCCTCGCTCCACGAAGAAGGGAAACGTATAAAAATATAAAGTGCCGCTTTAATGGCCACCATTCGTATCAATATCCCCGCAAGACTTAACACAAACACTAATTGTTGTCGAATTTTATCGAACTGCGAAAAGCGAAGCGAACGCTTCCGCTTGGAGCCATAATGGAGTCCCGACCGTCACCACATGGCGCCCGACGGCGAAGTAGTCCGTCGCCTTCCCCCTCGACAAACTTCCCGCAAACACACAAAAAGGTCGGACAAAAGAAAAGCGCAAAACATTCGTTTTACCTGCTTCTAAAAGTTTCATGGCGTGCGTGAAAGACGAGTCCAGACTGTCCTTCTCCGCCAGCAGCTGAGGGAGATATTTGTTGTCGCCGTTCTCCATTTTGAGTTCGAACAGAAAGAGAGAGGGAGGCTCAGTTCGGGTGGAGTTAAAAGCTTATGGCGGCCCCCCAAAAAATCCAAACCAAGGAGATGGAAAAAAGGTAGTCCTTTTTTGTGACTAGGAATTGACACGTATAGATTTCTCCTTTGAGTAAATATTTTACGCTGGTTTCGAAGTCGGACGCGTCCACTACTTTGTCGTTACGGGTGTCGGTCCTGAGGGCGATCCACTCAGTGCGCTGGCCGGGTTGGAATGAGAGAAGAAGAATAACAGCCGGGAAAAGGATCTGCGAAGCCGGAAGTGACGTCAGAGTTACGTAATATCAAGAGCTACGCCCCTTGATGAAAGATTAACTGCTCTTTTTTTAAACGTAGTACACAACTACAACAAAGAGAGGTGGCAAAAGTAATCACATCGTGTACTTGAAGTACGGATATGTGTGTAAACGTAAGGAAAAAAAGTAGACGTACCGAGTGATTCAACTCGTGATCAGTTCTTCTGTCAAAGCAAAAAGTAGACTCTTGCAATTGACAATTTGAATATTGTCAAACAAACGTGATTTATTTGATATTTTAATTGTTATGTTTTTAAGAAAAACAGGTAATGCATCATAAATGTATATTTTTTTCATCTTATCCATCAACACTACACTTTTTACATTTGTCATTTCACCAGAAAATGAGAGATGCCTGAGAAATCTACTTAGGTCAAGTAACGAGGTACATGCACTTGATTACTTCACGCTTGCCTTCTTGTCATACTGGAAACGTTCCTGAATTTTCCATGCTTTGAACATGTAGCTCTTTACTGGCCCCCAGTGGCAGTGGTGAATATTGCAGAGAACGCGCCATATGAACAGCTCAAATTGGTTCCATCTGAGGAAGCCCTTTTCCTCTCCACGACTATCGATCCCAGACACTTAGTGCAGAAGTGAAAAGAATGAGGTGGGAGCGGGGGTGAGGGGAACGTCAGGAGCGGACCTTTCGGGGATTGATTCCTACGGTCTGGATGCTTGTAATGAACCTGTCATGCCATTGAGTAGAGCGCACGAGAGGGTCAGATGGTTAGACTTGACCCAATGCATACAAAGCAAGTCCAGGTCAGTACTTGGAGAGCAGTAGCAGCAGTAAACGAACCATAAAAAAATTAAAAAAGCAGCAGGCCATTTGTCAGTACGCCGCCCGAGAGAGAACCGTTACAATTAACCACAAGGTGCATCCAGCCGTGCATCTGCTCAGAACAAATGAGCTTCAAAATGTGTTTGCGGCGAGCACTTACGACAGGCTGGAGACCCGCTTGTGCTATCCATGATCTATCTATGACCATTACGCCGTTATTAGGATTGGGGCTTGCAAAGGCCGTCCTGACTCATCTTGTCATTGACCGAATGCTTCTTCGCCTGTGAGCGGAATTCCGATGGGCTCATAAAAGGAAGAGTTACTCCTCTTGGCAGGTGGATGAGTTCCAATCTGTTAGCTTGTGTGCCCGTTCGTCCGTCCCTGCAAAGAAAAGCGCCACAGTTCGGGGTTAACAGGCGCAAGATGGAAGACGGTAAACAGGCTAAAGTGGCTGCTCATCCACATCGGTGTCAGTCAAGCTCCAAAGAGCTCACAAAATGGCAGCACTATAGAATTAGCTTTGATGACCCTCAACTTGCCTTTGGAGTACAACTTCAAGTTAGTTAGTTACTCAAAATACTGCACAAAGAAAACATGAGCCAGGTGTGCGTGTAGTCAACTTGACGAAGTAGGTCCTGGTGGACGATTTAGTTCATCATGTACCCGCAAGAATGCCTAAAATATTTCACCATGGATCATTTGATGGGTTTGTTGTCCTGTGTGTGTGTGTGTGTGTGTGTGTGTGTGTGTGTGTGTGCGCGGCTTCATAACATTTATGTCAAGTCAATTAGTGAGAGGCTGCACAGACTCTTCCTCCTCAAAAGATATTCACAAGTGATTTATCATTCGCAGTCACATTCATCGGGCCCGAATGAAAAGCCAATAAGGGCTTTATAGATACTTATATATTACATATCTTTTTATATCCTCACGTGACACGCTGTAGCTCGTTAGCTTTTTATAGTCGTGCTCACCCCGGGGAAATAGCTCAGGAGGCAGTTTGCATTCAACCACATCAGTAAGCAAAGTTTAAAGTGGCTGGGAAGAATACACGCGCCAGGTTATGAATAGTTTTTGTTGACGTATTTTCATATTGGTGGCATTATCGGATAATTTAAAGATACTGCAAAGTGAATTCAGAGATTTGTTTCTCATTACGATTGCACATGTTTGAAGATGGCATGAGTGGCCCCTCCCCGATGGTAGAACTTGAGCGCATTTAGTTGCATCAGTGAATCGGTTATCTGGCATATTCAGTTTGACCGCTGGCATGGCTGCTTTAGGGTGCCTCATTGTCGGCCATGAGGGCATGCACGCCATAGTCAGAAAAGCAGGCCAAAGGGTGGCAATGGAGGAACGCATTTTTGAGAAGTCCAACTCGAGAGCCAGAGTGTAGAGCGGGGCTTCGGACTGGCACAGCCGCATTAGAGCGCCCCGTTGCCGCGGGCTGAAAAGGCCCCCTGACAACACAGTGATGAGATACATTGTTAGACTTTCAGCGTACTTCTTTTCACAGCGAAAAGACACAACTTTGACTAATTCCAACAAGAAACACGTATCATTACCCTTCATCTTGAAACCTTTTTACTCTCATCAAATGCGCTATTTCTCACTTCTTTGCTTCAAAGCATGTGCACAGCAATCCATAATTCCATTTTCCTGTTCATTTAAGAACAATAGCTCTGACTCAGCTTTACAACAGCGACTCAGCATCACATTGCCCTTGATTCTCAACCGTGTAATGTTCTCTTTATCTTTACGCCGCAGTGTGGCAATGATAAAGCTGTGACATTAATATGTCGCATAGACACACATACACATATGCTGTGTGCTCGGAGGGTCAATTTCTTTTCTCCTATTAAGCATTCAAATATGAACTTCATTTTAATGTGGATGTCAGGTACACTGGCACGTATGAGCCGAGAAGCATCCCAAGTATCAAATGATCTGCAAACATTGCAAAACTGAGGGGAAAAATGTATTCTGAATTGCTGCATTCCGAGATTACGTTGTCACATTTTGATCGTGTTTAACAGCACGTTCTGACTTTCTAATCCGAGACGGAGGACGTGCACCAACTCTGTCACGACGTCGAAGGAGGTGCGCGGCATCAGAAATTTGCTCTAATTCAAGAATCCTTGTGGTCTTCAGGGGCCGCGCGAGATTACGTTTCATGGTGATATGGTTTGATCAAGAACTCCGCCTTGACACAGTCAAAGGTGTGATTTAGAACGGCTGCTGTAATTGTCAATGAGAGGAAAAAGAAGCTATCCCACGGTGGGATACACTGCGGTCACAGTACAATCGTGAATGTAAACCTTTACCTACAAAGAAGGCCATCAATCAAGATCCCTGAGGAGTTTTTTTTTTGGTCTTTCCACCTATCAGGAAAGCCACCTCCTCTCCCTCGTCGTCGAGGATAATCAGACTGCTTGTCAGGTCTGTCTTCCACTCACGTCCGGGTTGCAGGGTCCTTCTCCAAGTGTCGGCTCCAATTTATCCACCTTGGCCTTTGAGTCAAAGTATGCATACGCGCACAAAGCCCTGTGGAAACAGGCTTGGGAGGGGCGGCGGGGCATTCACACACATGTCATGGGCAACAAACGACAAGTTGAGGACTCTTGAATGGAATAGCACCTGAATCCTGACACTTGCTGTGATGAGGTGTGATGCTGGCCGTGAGTGGCTGAAGGTTTGCATTGTTCGTGGAGCTTCTTTTACTACCACGGCAGGACAAGGTTGGTGAGCAACTCCAAACAGTTTTCCTCAAAGCAGTCTCCTCTTCTTCAGCCATCCGAAACTCAGCACAGTCACCTCTCAACTGGGTGCACTTTTGTCCAATTTAATTGCAATGAGACAATTCACCACTCCAGCTCTCCCCTCGACCGCGGTTCTGATTAGGATGATGAGCAGAGGAGTTAATAAGCTTATTAATTACCTGTGTAGGAGACAAACCGGTTCCCACCGCAAACTCCCCCCTCCCCCATCCCAGCCCCTCCTTCCCCTCCATCCTCCCTCCCTCCCCACACACTAACAACGCACTGTCATCCTTGCCCAACTGTCTTCAAGGTCGCTCTGCTTTTAACAGTGCTGGCTTTGCTAAAGGAATCTCTCAAGTCACACGGTAATGAGCTTAATTAGAATAACTCAAGGTCGGGCAGGAGGACGGCGACGTGTCGACAGAGGAGCATAAAAAGAACCAAGACCAAAATAAAAGGAAACCTATTCTGCTGAGAGTGGGTTTAATGAAATGATGCAGCGTGTCATGGTTGATCACTGCACATAAAGGTGAAGTCTTGTCAGAAGCTCAACACGGATCTGTCTCTCGTTTTTTTTTTTTAATTGGAGACACGAGTGGAATCCGAAGGAGAGTTGAATATAGCACAGACCTCCACCATGGCGTAACAATCTCCTTTAAAGGATGCATGATGTGAATTTTTTTTTTCTGCCTCCAACTGCAGGCTCTGCTTGAGTGCGTTTGCCTGTCCCTATGGCTGGTGTTTTGCTAATGATAGTAAAGTTTCCAACAAAAATGACTGCAGCTCTGCTTACCTTTTGGCTTTGACACAGTACTGCATTTCAGACCATGTCGTAATTTGGCCTGAAAGCGGCGCATCTCCGCCCAGCCAAGCTACCATGTCGTGGCCAGAAAAATTTGCTGTGTGGAGTGGTTATCATTTCCTGTACATTTACCAAACTGTGATGTCACAATCCAACCAAATTCTGAAACTGATCCACTGCTCACACCAACCTCCGCTATCATGACGACAGGACGGAATGAGTGGTTTTGGGACTAGCCCCCCCTAATGTGACATGCAAGTTAAAAAAAAACAAAACAAAACCTTTGCTTTCCCCTCACCAAAACTCACAACAAATCTTTGTATGTATTTCTCAATACATTTTAAAAATATTGCAAAGTAAAAGTTCAAGTAGATTGAGAATACATTTAACAAATATTAAAGATATTTTTCAACATCCACAATTTCAAAATGTCAATCACTTATTTTGTCATTGCCATCATATTTTATCATTTGACAACTGACGGTTTGCTATTTCAGTTCTTTCTTTTTAGTTTGGTCTGGATATTTGTGTAGAGGGTGGCACACAAGGAGCAAAGAGAGAAAGTCATGAGTGCCAAATGGGAGGAAAGGACAGCGGGATAATGAAAAAAAAAACCCAAAACAAAACACTTGAAGCTCAGAGGAGAAGCCTCTGAGGAGTATATTTGACGAGTATTTCAACCTGCTTGTGTTCAGTGGAGACTTTGTTAAGCAAGAAAAAAACCGAAAAGGGGGCGGGGGAAAGGGTATCTTTTTCGGACTATGTGACCATGACAGATTCAGGCCAAGGTGTACTATGGCTGCACTTCCTCTCCTTTTATTTGTCTTTTCAAAAAGAGACTTGGCATGAAAAGGTTATTTCTCATCACATCTCTCTCTTTCAAGGGTAAACGGGTTGTGAGGCCAGTGCCTAAACAGGAGGGGCCTTTTTTTTTTTTTTTTAAACACTGCAGAAAGTAGAATTTCCTTCTATTATGTTGCCAGTGTGAAGGTAACCTTAACGGTCCCTCCCGCCTTTATCTCCATCGGTGTGTACCCTCCTCTTTTCATTGTATCAAAAAGACACGCTCACTTAAAGGGGAAATCCAATCACACGGGACAGGACAGTTCACGGATTGGTAGGAAATAAGCGAGTGAAATAAAATGGGCAAAATCAGCAAAAAAATAAATAAATAAAATAAAAGCCTCTAATCAAAACTGCTGCTGGCTGAGCAGTGGAGCAATAAGCAGTGACAAATTGAATTGCAGTCTTTTCATGCCACATGTGTCATCGGGCCTCTAAAAAGAGAGCGAGAGAGGGAAAAAAAGGACAAGTTACTGAGGCTGCGAGATGGTGTGTGTCGTCAGCAGAAAAGGTGACAGGTCATGAATTCTGTTTTCGGCTGCAGAAGGAAAAAGCACCATTCAAGAGAGGGTGAACGAAAGCGCAGCTACCTTCGCCTAAAATACATAAATAAATAAATAATGATAATGTGCTGTATATTTTATGAGAAATATTTTTTTTTCAAAAAAAGGACTTGCGGAGAAACGCAGAGGATGGGAGCAGACCGAACACGGACGCACATAACATTGCGGAGCGATCCCATCAGTTATTAATGACATTGTCTCCACATAATGCCGGATCATCTTTAACAAGCACAAGTGACTTGTTTACGACACAGACAGCTGTGGCGGTTTCTGACATGTGAATACACCTCACAGGGCGGCATAAAACGCTTTTTCTATAATGTATCTGTCTATTGCGTCATCAGATGCTGGTACAAATATGAATCCTTATGGTCTTTTAAAGCATTTACGTAATCAATGTTTGTGCTTTACGTTCTTTTAGTAACCTACTGTTTATTTCATAGCTTGGCTTTTAAATGTCGTAGAATGTTTTGCCCGTAAATGCCTTTGTTGTCATTTTAACTGTGAAGCACATTGAGTTACCTTATGTATGAACTACGCTGTATAAATAAAGCTGCCTTGCCAATTGACAAAAGTCATGTGCGGTACATGCAGATGTTCTATGTCTTCTTTCTCAAACAGTGTCATTTCATGCACTTTTACGGATCTGCATGTACCGTACTTCCATTGTTGTTGATCCTCCTATGTCTGTCTCTGTGACTTTTGCCAACTTTACGCTATTCTATTCTCACACTTGCAGTCGCCTATGGGCTAAAATGAGCAGTACACAAAATTCACAACATGAGAAAGGTCAAGAAAGCGTTGATGCCAGTGTACGTGTGTGTACTTGTGCTTATGCATGTAATAGAAAGTAAATTTGAATAAGGCCTGGAGGGAGTCTAAATGATAATTCGTTCTCACTTGGCGCGCTGCTTTAAAACACGCCCGGGGGCTGTCGAAACCGCAACCCAACCGTCTAATCGGATCGAAATGCAACTTTTTTTAGCGATGACACAGCGTGTTTGGGCTGGAGAACGTGTCGCATGGGCAAATGAAAAACACACTTGATGTGCTTTTGGAAACTGCTTGAGGCCGGTTGGTGGGAAACCTTCGGCGCATGGGCGAGAACCTTTGTCACAGCTACGGAAAGACTTCTGGCTGGAGCTGATCCCAGCGGACTTTAAGTGAGAGCTGGGGTACAGTGTGCCCTGCAACCAAAAAGTCAGAGAACCCCTGATTTAGAGTCTTCAATGGTGCCTGTTTGGGGATTTGGGAGGAAGCCGCAATCCTGGAAGAAAACCCACTCCACGTGATTTCAACCGCAGGTAGCTGTGAGGCAGATGAGCGAACCAATAATGCACCACGCTGCCAGCTAAAAAAAAAAAAAAAAACACGAAGACTCACAATGCAACATTGACACACACACACAAAAAAAAGAAGAAAAAAAACAAACATTTGAATCATTACATGGTTCGTAGAAAAACAAAACTGAAATGGGCTATCGCTGGTTTAGGCCTGGCTAAGGTACCACAGCCTCACTCAAATTTAAGGAGGGTCGCGCACAAAGAAAAGCCAACAATGAGACAAAAATAAAATGAAGACTAAAACTGAAGGTGTCCGCGTTCCATTCCATTTGAACCATGTTAACCGAGAGCCTGTTGTATCTCATAAAGCTTTAAAGCGTGACCAAGTATTGCTACTGACAACCTTGGATGACTTCAACCACAAATGAGAGTGCTTCGTCTTTAAGCGTGCATGCTTGTGCATATTCATGCCTTGCGTTCATATTCAAAAGATAATTTGATGGCTAATGAAAGGATTAGAACATTTGGAGTAGATTCAGACATGAGCCCCGAGGCCAAACTTGTTTGAAATGATTGTTATTACAATGAGATCAACGTGTCTACATGGAGTAGTAAAAGTGCTGCGGCTTTCCGAAATGCCACATTTGGCCTGACGGCACTCCGGCACCACGGTCACTTTTCAACCGCAAATAAATGTAACGAGCAGGAAGTCATGGATTGAGGACTGGTTGATCACTTTCTGGGGAGAAATTTTGGAAACGGCTGTGTCGTGAATTAGCGGGGGCATTAGTCAGCTTGAACAACTGACCCGCAGGCAGTGTTTGATGCCGTTAACAGTGACAGATTGGCTGAGAGCGTCAGCGTACGTGCATGCTGACAAAATGCTCCAAGAAAGGAGCAGAAAGGAAGTCACAAGAAATCACATTTAAAACAGAATTAGAACGCATCGCAGCACTCCACTGCCAAGTTACTCCAGCACTGCACTACTGCCATCTGCTGCTGAGGAAACTGTATTGGACGAGTATCTTGGTTGATTTATAGTGACATGTTTTCAATGCAAATGAATAGAAACACATCATATTTGACCGGATACTGTTTGCATGGGGCCCAAACGTATTACCGTACTTCCAAAATAACAAATTCTAGCTGGCTGGCTATAATAAATCTAATTAGTGGGACTGCTTGCTCCGCGGCAGTCCCGTAGTACGTAATTCAATAAAAAAAAAAAAAAAGTATTACAAGGTTCAATTTGTCAAATGACGCAAAATAAATGCAACGCCTTTGTTTTTGCTCCCATTTTTCATGAGCTGAACTCCAAAAGCTCATTTCTCTCAAATGTGTGTAAGTGAGCACTTTTTTTCTGATGACTATAAGGTAGCAAAAGAGGCCTTTTGTGTCCTGGAAAAAGAATTTGAGCTTCATGTTCAGTTCATGAAAATGGGAGCTGTGATTACTCCTAATTAAGAATGGCCTGATGGCCACCACGGTCCGATGTTGGGCCACCCCCCTACCTATTGACACTAGCCTAGTCGAAATTTCGAAGTCACAAAACATTTTCAGCTGCTGAAAATGGCCCAAAAGAGCATTTTTGGTTTTAGACTGGAAGATAGCGCATTCTGCTCTAAGCAGTCCCTTGGGAACATGATATCCCGGGACTGCTCTCATATGATGTATCAAGAGACAACAAACAGGACATAGCGTGGCCATCGTTAACAATACTTTTTATTGTGGCTTGCTGTCAGATCAAAGCAGATAGCAAGGAGCATAATAAGTATTAGAATATTCCGTTTTGGAGGTTTGCCTTTGGAGGACGGACCAACCCCCCCCACTCCCCCCACTGACAAGGAATGCTACAAGACACCGTATCGTGAACGGTCACAACAATGGCTGCCATTGGCTTGTAGCGCATGGATTCCTTTGAAAGAACGTTGGCTGGTGTTGTACTCGACACCACCTGGACCGGCTTTGGCATCGCGAGCTAACGCGATTTCAGAAACATGAGCTGTAGTTCCGCAAATAGTGGCGACTCAACTGCAGATGCGGGTGAGGCCTGTAGTTGTACACATTTTTTGGAATTATACCCATCGATATTTTGGTCGTATGATTATTATCAAGCTAGACAAAAAGCGGTCAAGTCCTGTCTGTAGCTTCCTGGAACATCGGGATGCGCAACGCTGTGGTGCGACCAGCTCTTTAATACTGCCAAGGGAACTTGGCCAGACGCAAAGCTACTCACGTGAGGGAGTATTTACGTTCCTGGCTTGGTGCTGCTGTTTTGGTTGGCAACAGACTTGGAATTGGCTCAGCAGTTGGCTAATGTGAACAATAGCATCTGTGAACTGAGGTAATTACAGGTGTCTTATTTGACAGAGGTGTTGATTTGACAACGCAACGGTGGATAGAGCACAGAAAGACGGTAACGTGTTGTCGTAAATTTCTTTCAGCTGTCATGTTGACACGCCTTGGTAGGTGTGATCATTTTGGTTAATAACGCTTGTCCAAATGTGTTCAGCTGGGAACTCTTTTGTGCATGTGTGAACAACAGCATCCGTGAACTGAGGTAAGAACAGTTACCACCCATTTATTTTTCCGAATGGGAAAACGAGGGCACCGATTTGAGGCGAGCATTTATTTGTGGATGATGCCACGGTGAGTAATTGGGCACAATTTATTTGATGGACGGCCACTATTTGAGGAAATATGTTAAAGTCACCCCAAATTTCCTTCTTGAGCTGAGAGACTGTTTCCCCTGGTAGATGCTGCTGTTTTGGGGAGCGAAAGCGTGAACTCTTTCATGTCTGTGTAAGATCTGAGGTATTTGCAGTTATGACCCGTTTTTTTTTTTTCCCCTCCTGGTGGGAAAAGGCAGACATTTGTTTGTCAATTCATTTTGAAGCAGACGACGCAGATGGACGGCCACTATTTGAGGAAATACGGTAGGTAATACAAGCACAAATGTCCATTTGATGAACATTTCGGGAGCGACTTCGACACAGTTGAAGTCTCGTTATGTTTCAAGTTTGACAACTCTACAGTATATTTCTGGTAATGTCGTTAGTTTGAAGAAAAACACCCACAAACATGATTATCTTCTCTGGGTTATTATGTACACAAGTGTGATGATTACGATTAGAGTGAGATCCACTTTTGAAGTGCAGTACGCGAGCAAAAGCTTTTAGCTTATTCCAATAAGGAGGGAAGAAGACGGCGTTGTGATTTTCAATCACACCGACGTTTGTTTTGGTGGAGAGAAGCTTTACAGGCTTGGAAAATGAGGTTAGATGAGGGGGAAAAAAAGAGCAACGAGAGCAGCATCGAGTTGAACAAAGACATGATGGATAGTCCTCGCTTTGTTCTACTAATAAAAAAAAAGGTATAAATAGAACATCCTGTTTGGAGTGAGCGCGGATATGATGCAAGAAAATCTCTTGAAGCTTACACACACACACGCACACTCCCACACACACACACGCACACGCACGCGCACATCTGGTGCACTTCTTCACTATCTTGAGCCACCATCGTTGGATTTCCTGAGATTCCAGGTGTCCCTCAGGGCTTTGCAAATTCCAACATTGGCCAAATGATTTGATCAATCGACTCTTAGAGGTCGGACGACAGCACCAGAGAAAAGAGAGAGGAAAAAAAAACAAAACAAAAAAACAAAAAACAGGCACATTCATATCCATGCAGACGAGATCGTTGAAAGCGTCTCTCAGACCTGACCTGCAGGCACTTCATCACCATTCAGCATTAAAATAAAAGCATGAGGCGGGAAAAAAATAATACTCAATCAAAACGATTAAATGGGTGAGGTATCCTTTAGATAATTCTAAGGAATTTAGGCTTGTTAATACCACCTTGGAATGCACTACTTCTTGATATAGCTTTATATTTATATATAGATGTATATATTTATATATGTACTGTATACTATATTGCTGTTAACATAAGCAGAATAACTTTCGATAAATATGGCAGCCTCTTTCCCGCCAGAGGCACCTCGAGTCAACTTCAGAACCCAAATGTCTCATCAGCCGCCCCCGAGGAGGTAGACCCCCACTTTTTTTTTTTTTTAAGTATTTAGATTAAAACTCAATCGACATCACCAGCTTTTTGGTCACTCTTCATCCACAGTTTCCCTTTTTGGATCCTTGTCTTTCTGTTCCGCCACTTGTATGGCGGAGCTGGGGAGGGCCTCAGGAGCGGCCTTCACGGAGGAGTCTTGTTGCTCCACCATTCTTTGGGTGGATGCCTCTTCCTGACAATGAGGAAGCACCAACAATTGTCAAATTCAACATTTTTAGATCATTTTCATATGCCTACTGCCCATTTCAGCAGTGACTTACCTGCTCTGAGAAACGTTGATTGACCTGATCGGTGAACTCTTGCATCTCCGCCTCTTCGCCGTTGGAGTGGCAGCTTGGACTCGGGACCTCAATGCCGTGGCTTTCCAAAATGGCAGCTTCTACACAAACATAAAAGTAAATGTAGGATGTTTCCAGCGGCTTGTTCCTCGTTCCCATATGACACGCTCACCGATATTGGCTCGCCGCTTCATCTCCTTGCGGCGGTTAGCGAACCAGTTGTACACCTTTAATGCCGTCACACGCTCAAACTCAGACAGTTTGCAACCTGAACACAACAGAGAATAAGAAATGTTTATAAAAATGATAAGAATTGCATGTGCCCTGCGAGTTCTACGTGTCTAATTGTGCCCCTACGGAGACATCTTTCACTGTATAAATATTCTCATTCACAAAAGTTCAAATCTATTTTGGCACCTGGTTTCTGGATGACCGAGTTGCAGGCGTTGGCGATCTCCTCCCGCTTTGCCTCATCGGGGTACTGGTTCTCCACAAAAAAGCTGGAGGAGCGATGGCGATGGTTAAAATCGCGCGGCTGCTCTTTGGCCATGGTATTGAGGGGGAACATTAAGCCACACAAACACAGAACTCAAGTGTCCTCAGAGACTGAAATGTTGTCTGATTGGAACAACCCTTGTAGTTTGAGTTCTCTGGGTCATCTTGTCATGAAACTGACACATGCACGCACGCACGCACGCACGCACGCACATCCGCCCTTGGTTCTAAAACAGCTCAGCGGGAGAGGGCCCCGTGTGGTCTTATTACCGTGAGTGCCTCTAGTACTTACTGCACGCGTCTAATGGACAAATCAATTGGGCACAGTAGGTGGGACTGTTGGGGGGAAGGGTGGGGGCGGAGTGGCATGCTATTTTGTCAGCATCCTGCCGGCCGGCCGAGAAAGAAGACGAGTTCATTCCAGAGAAGCAGGGGTAATAAAAACTGCGCAATAAAGTCAGCGTCATGCTCCCAAATGTGCACGGTATGCTATTTGCCGGTACGAATTTGAAAACAAGGATAGATTTGTTCTTGGGCTGTTTGTAGTCATGTCACATCGTGCCTCTCACCTCTCCATGATGGACTGGCACTCCTTCCTCCAGGTGAAGCGGCTTCCTCGACGCAACCTCAGGGGCGCCCCGACTATCGCCGGCCTGTCAGCCATGATACCCGTCCGCCAGTCAGGTTCCTCCTTCACCATTGACCGCATCGATAAAGTTGCGCCTGTAGGAGAGGGGTTACGTAGTCGTCATTATGCAGAGCAGACATGCTGAGGTAAATTATACCTCACAACTAACAAGAAATCCACACAAAAAAAAAAGGAATATTACATTAAAAACCACATTTTTACCACAAAAACAAGGTAGAGATTGGCCTTCTGTGTAATCTGCATAGTAGATGCCGCAAGATGGCAGCAAAGCAATATTTTTGTCGAAATGAAGCTCCTCAACTCATGGCGACACAGTTCTTTGGCATATGTGAGTGGGTTTGCAGTCCTGAGTTTTCAATCGAACCACTGAAATAAACGCAACACTCAACATTCTAACTGACTGAGATGCACCTGTAAAATCACAACTCAAATTAGCTCACAAAGAGCTGGAAAATCAGACTGATTGATTGATTCATTCCTCAAAGAATTGCCCAACATATGGGAAACACGAGTCTCCTTTGGTGATGCCGTCAAAGTGCAAGTCCGCGTTTGGCGACTGGAGAGGAAGGGGGAGGGTCCAGGGTTACCTGGCTGGGCTGCGGTGGCGGCGGCAGTGTACCACGGCAACAAGTGCATCAGCAGCTCTCTCTGCCTGCTCCACACGGGGTTGGAGTTTGGGTTGAGGTTGGTGTTGGGGTTGGGGAGGCAGCCACTTGCCCCCGCCGCCAGCCCGTCTCTGTCCCCTCCCCTGGCCCTGGGGCTCACGCTGTGCTGGCTTTCGTTCCACCTCAGCCCTTCAGTCAGGGTAAGATTGTAGACGTCAGTTTGGGCAAACGGATTTTGCATTGCGCCGTGTTGTGCAATCAGCCAATGAGAATTTGCTGCCGCCTTTTCATTTTGCCGCGTCAGCCGAGCGAGTAGAAGCTTTAATCGGAAGCAAAGCGCCGTGGCCGCGTTGGATCGGAACCACTGCGGAGGATCAGTGTTGTTATTGTTAGTCTCGGCCCGTCTCGGGAGGGAAAACCAGCACCAGAGCGGCTCCAGCATGAGAACTACAGCAAAGCTTCCAGGGTGAAGCGGGTTGAGATTTGAAAGCAAAGATGACGGGAGGAAGAAGCACCGCGCGTGTCAAGTCTATTTTGGGGCATGACCAGCCCAATCAAAGCTATGTGTGTCATCTTGCGCATGCAGGAGGAAGTAGGACTGTGGGAGCACGCGTTCCTTTAAATCTCAGTTGGACCGACCAGAAGCTTCCCTGTCTCTCGCAAACCCTCACCTGGGTTATTTCTCTCCAGCAGATACCAGCGGTAAAAAGCTCTGCGTTTGGAGTCGCTCATCTCCAGGCCCTGCTGCAGCAACCACTGCGAGATGTAACTCTGACTAATACCTGAGTAAAGAAGGCAAACAACATCATGCATTGAAAAATCAACACAATTACAATGTCAAACTCTGAGCATTTTGGGGAACAAATATTTTTAGCATTTCTTTCACGTCATCTCAGATTCTTCTACAGTGGAACCGCCAAAGTCAAATGCATGAAATGGGAGATATGATGGAAAATCGACTGCCAAAGAAACAATATGTCAAAGCGTAAAAGGTAAGAGGAACTGCATTGAATTGGCTTCAAAAAAGCAGCAGATGCCTGTTTTTTGGTGACTTGTCAAAGTAGAGGGGTGCCAATTTGAGTTTGGTAAAGAGTCCACTGCAAATCACTGTATATCTCCTTTCACGTTTAAAAAAAAAAAAAAAGGTCTGACGATTCTTCTTCATTGGTTCGTAAAATAAAAGAGTGTGCCATTTCCATTGTAGTCCGTGCTTACCTGTAACTTGTCCCACAATTGCCTGAGAGATCCGTCGGTTGTTGAGGAAGGTTTTGATCTCCTCTTTTACTAGGTTGCTGTCCCTCCTGTGAAAGTTAAAAACAAATGATATGTCACGGCGCAGGAATTTTTGCACGGTGGTGGCTTGCTTCACTTATTCAGCGAAAAGTCTTCTTTCTTTTTTTCGTTCAGCTATCCCAGTACACCTGACCTGAATTAACGTGACTACACTTGTGGAGGAACAGCAGCAGCTCTGGGGAGCTCAAGTGCCATTACCTGATGTTATAATAGTCTGTCTTTGTCTGTGCATTTATTCTCTGCTATCCATCCTCACTCGGTGCTAATTCACGCTTGACCTTCCTCACCTCATGTATTCCTCCACCTTCTCTTCCAGGTCCCACTCCTCCTCCCCGACCATGTCGTAGCTGAACGAGCGCTGCACAGCCACGCTGGTGGGGTACAGGGGAGGAGGTGAGGCCTCAAAGCTGTTGCTTGGGGACAGCGCGGCACCGTCTAGCCCCGAGGTCTGCGTGGTGGCCGAGGTGAGGGAGAGAGAGGAGGTGGACGACGAAGAGGACGGCGCCGGGGCGGAGGCAGTGGCGAGTGTATTGTTGCCGTTGTTGTTATTGGAAGGGGCCGGGTGGGAGTCACAGTGAGGCGGGCGCTGGTCCGGGTCGAGCCTCTCCAGAGACTCCAAGGCATGGACGATCTGGGGTTTGGTCATGCCGGAGAGGCGCAGACGCTGCAGGAGGTCGATCTGCTCGATGGTGTAGCGTGGCTCCACCCCGCAGCACTCCGTTCTGACATCTGCACAAGAGTTAAACATACACCACAGCATTAGGTACACCTGCGCAGCTGTCTGAAATGCAAACGTTCGCCACCCAATCACAGGGCACAAACTGACAAACTGACGAGTCTTCAATGAACCTGACATACGTTTTTGGGATGTGGGAGGTGGCTGGAGTACCTGGAAAAATCTACGACAGCATGGTGAGAGCAAGAAACTCCATACGAGAAGGATGGAGCAAACCCAGAAACCGCATAATAGACGTTATAACAACTAGTCCATTTTTATGAAGTGCTCATAGTAGAATCACATTTTTTCATCGCTCATTGATTCAATGAGATGACCATAAAAGGTGAAACATCTCTGAGTATGATGAATTGCAGTGTTCTAAAGTTGAGACTTCCTTAACAAGTGTCAACAAAGACAACTCGGTGCACTGAATTCAGTATAATTGGACATCTATTGAGGGACAATAAGTTTCAAATTATTGATCTGACTCATGAACCCCGGGCCCACCGCGAACTTACCTGATGGAGGGGGCGACACGGAGAGGCGCCCCGGGAGTGGCTCCGTGCTTCGGGTCGCAGCGGGGACACACCAGTGTCGCATGGCTCCGCTCGGCAAAGACTTCCGCTCTGCTTGGACCTCCTACATACAGTAGCCGTGCCGCAGTGGTTAAGCGGCTATTAGCAGGCTGCAGACCAAAAGCTTCAAGATGACTTGCCGGAAGACTAATTCGGCTAAGCTAACGCCGCTAACTCAGTCTGGTTCCCTAGAGCCTGCTCGGAAACAATCGGTTAAGTTACACGTTATTGTTGGAATAAACTACGGAAGTCAAAGTAGTTTCGTCTCAAAATAAAAGCTCTTACTTGTCAATTTAAAGGGATCAATGAAATAAATGGCATTATATTTTGAAAAGTACAGGAAGCATTGTGTCCACGATTGTGTCTGTTGACGCCATAGACTGTCTAGTCGCGGCTAACTTATCTAAACTTCCACAATAGATGCTGGAAATTTATGATCCTAATACATTTAACAAGTGTCGCTACATCGAACGAAAATGATGTCTAGTCAAGTAACAAGCAGGAAGGGAGGCTGTTACCGGCGGGTTCGCTGCGTAGCTAGCACAGTTAGCTCGTCGCTAACTAGCACCGGGGTGGTCCCACGGAAGACGGCGTATCGCTTACCCCTCGGCGGCGGTGGACGGACAGTTGCCGCCGGCTGTCTGGACGTTGACCACTGCGAGCGGGAAAACCTGTCGACAAAAAAGGCTTCTGTTCCCCCCAAATTGCCCGACCTTTTTACAACCGGGTAAGGAGAACCCACCGCTGGGTCATGTTGTCTTTGGGCTATGCAGCAATACTGTATGCAAATACAGTAAAGGAGTCTCGATTTATGACCCCCCTTCACCCGACACCTCCGCCGTCAAGTACGTCTGGTTTATTATGACTTCCGGTTGAGCTGTAAACACAGCACTGTGTACCCACTTAGCTTCCATGCAAAAATACCATAAAGAAACACACTTTTAGGGCAAAAAAAAAATTCGGAAAACAGTTTACACTCAGAGGACATTTCCTTACATTCATCTGTACCCAAAGCAGGTCCATTGGAAACCTGTGACAAAATGAGAATTTATATCCATAGTAATGGACATAGTTGTACTATATGTCTAGCAGACCGTCATAAATCACACTGGACATTGGTCGTGAAAAGTTTATAACTATAAATTGTCTCGTTTGTAATACCTAAATTTCACAACGTGGTGGCGCTAGAGGCGAAGTTTTGTAAGGTTCCTTACGATATACAAAGCCTCAACAAAATATGAAAATGAAAAGAATAGATCTTTTAATTCGTAATCCTATTAGTGAAAAAAGTATCCATTTTTTTCAAACATGTTAATTACAAATATTGTCCCCCCTGGTGTCGTTAAAGCACAGCTTTGTGAGGTGCCTCTATTAATGTTTATGTATATCGGCATATCAGGCATCATTATTTCTTCAAAAGTTATAAAAAAACAGCATTGAAAATGAATCACGTTTACATTTTAATATATGGTTGAAATAAAGTATTTTGTATTAATTAATTTTGTGTTAATTGTAACGTTAAAAAATATATTTCAAGTAATACAAATAGACCGTGCCAAATTCCAATCAAGTTCTCTATTTCATTCATGAATTAAATCCTGTCATCCGGAAGTAGTTTGACAAGAAAGATGACCTTTTACACTGAAATGTAATTCAAGTAGAATTAGTTTTTTTATCGTCATCATCAATATCATAATTAATTTGCATTTTAGCAGTTTGTTGATTTTTTTTTTTTAGTGTACAGCGAGCTTTTTTTGAAACCACTAAAAGACAGGTGTGCCGTCAACAAGCACACTTGTGCTCAGCTGTGACTTAATTAAACAGACAATGACGAATTACCATCGTAGCTTCCAAAATAAAATTAGCGACTTTACATAGAATTAATAAACCACTTTAAAAGTGTTTGTTAGTCCACTCCCAAACTATGTCTGAAAATTTAAACTGTAAACAAGCATGTCAGGACTTTCAGAAAACTCAGTACATTTATAAACACCTTTTCCGGAAAAATACAATATTTTATTTTGAAGATTACCTCTGTCAACATGCTTAGGTTGCCTGACTGGCATGTAGGACTTGTTCAGTTGGAAGTGGGGAGAGGACATGCGGTCCTTCTTTTAACGCTTCAACCTGTAAGTCAACGTAAACGAATGGTGACCTGATCGAGATGGCCAGAACAGGTAACTGACCTCACATGGTGTTGATCAGTTTTACTGTTTATCGATATTTTAAGTCAATATCAAATTTTGTGACAGGGTGTGAACGTGGTGTGGCTAAAGGGAATGAAGTTTGTGGGAACAACTACACCTTTTAAGTAATGCCGTTCACTACTTATAAGGAAAATGTCAAAATATAGGTGTACTTCAAGAATCGCCTTAATTATTGTATTGCTTTCATGAGGTTTTATGTACATTAAAGTGGCATAATAGACGGAAGTATCAAAAAGCCCATTGCCACGAATGAGCATGTTCAGCTTGATGATCAATAAAATGGCTTCCAAAATGTTATCGGCAACCCCCCCAAAAAACTGACCTACAACCCATGTTGGGCACTCTCGAACCCATCTGGTCCAGCTGGTGGTTATAATCTTTGTGCTCGATTTTTCTTTTCAGGGCCATTTTGTCAGTCCGAGCCGACATTGTGATCATCAATGATTAATGCGAGCGACGTTTGTACGTGTGTTTGACCTGGCTCGCGTGTCTCCGATCGATACAAGAGCGGGACGTTGAACCGTGGACGCAGCGCCCGATGTAACCCGATCCAAACACGGTTTTCTCCGCAGGGGTGTGTTGCGCCAGCCTGGAGGAGCCCGCGGCCCTGATGAAGATGGGCCTCAGCATGGTGCTCGTGGGCCACGTCAACTTCCTGTTGGGAGCGCTGGTGCACGGCGTGGTGCTCCGGCACATCAACCTCCACAAGCAGGCTCGTGCCATGGAGTACGCCATCTCCAATGTGGTGGCACTTGCATCTGGACTGATGGTGAGTGTTTTCTGTAGTACTGTCATACGCACTGGGAACACCAAAACTATGACAGGAACCGGGACTCATTATACCCCCTCAAAAGTTTGTAATTGCCTTACAGTAGAAACTGTACAGAGATCACAAACAAACATCTTTCAAACTCATTTTACATCATTACCTTTTGATTATCTGATTCAGGAAAATGCAGCATTTCATGACCTTTTCACCTAATTTCAATGCCATTTTGAGTTGGCGACGAAACGGTTTCTCAAGCTTTGAACTTCTCAAATGTTTCGTCATGTTGCAAATGGATTATTGCCACAGTTTCATTCCTCTTTGTACCTTTGCTCTCCGCCATGTTAATAAAACGTACTGTGGTGAGATCTGAACTTTATTATTTTTTTGGTTACTGCAGGGAATTGTCGTTGGCATTCTGGCTATCGTCTTGTCTAAAAACAAGAAAAGCCCAGGCCTGGTGAGTACTATCACTCTCTATTTTTTGAGTCCCGAAAGGGAAAATATGTAGACTGGGAAGTATGTTTCTTATGTTTGGACATGTTACGCCGTTGTGATTTCCAGGTAGTCTGTTTTGTCTAACAACACCAGAGTTTTCTTGACACGTCAAGTACAAATGTTGTTTTTCAGAACTGTGAAATGTACTACTGACTGGAAAATTGTCCGCTTGTGGTTTTCAAAAAACCCAGCGGCTAAATAGCTTCCGTGAATCATCTCTTGGGAGTGATAAAAGCCGCAGAACGATTAACCCACGAAAGTTCCTCAGAAAATTATAGAATTTTTCCAATCCTATTTTATTTTTATTTTTTTTAATGAAACTAATTCTGTGATTCATAATAGGAGAAACTTTCCCCGCCGCGGATGTAGACGAGTGACGCATGTCCAAACCCTGTCGTCTTATAACGGCTCACTTTCCTACTCCCTGTTGTTGGCCCGCTCAGGCGAGACTGGCAAGGTTGCAGATACCAATGAATGAAACTCGCCTTGCTCAACCACTCCCTGTTTGCCTTTTGTTAGTCTGCACCAGAGTCAGCTGGGCCTCGAAGCGCCATCAGCTGCGTACCATCTCTTTTGTTAATCACGCGGCCGGCATGACGCACTGCTATCATCACTGCTAATTGAGTCTCCTGATAAATAACGCTGCTTGTGAATGCTATCAGATGTTTACCCACTGCACACCAACACAATAATAAACAGGAGAACCTATCCGCAATCGCTCGGTGGCGGTGGACTTTAGTAGAGGTGTCAATTTATCGCGTTAATTGCGAATAATTAATTACAATCATATTTAGCGCGTTATGTTTTTTAACGATCCATTTTTTGGGGGGTCATTTACTGAGTTGATTCTTACGAGTTTGCTTGTTAGCTAACCCTCCCATCGAACATGCTCACTTAAAAACAAACTCATGATCTAGCCGTGTGTTTATTTTTGCACTTTACATTTCAAAGAATTCTCAAAGTGCCAAAATGTTTTTGGTGCGTGTGTGTTTGTCCGTTATGTTTTTTAACGATCCATTTTTTGGGGGGTCTTTTACTGAGTTGATTCTTACTAGTTTGCTCGTTGGCTAACCCTCCCATCGAACAAGCTAACTTGAAAACAAACTCATGATCTAGCCATGTGTTTATTTTTGCACTTTACATTTCACTGCCGCTTCCCTGATGCCATCGGCTACTCCAGCATCACCAACGAGTGTCCTTTTGACCCCACGCGCATCTATGTGAGTGAGTTGGCGCACACTGTGACTAAAATCACGATTGCTAAGTAAAAGTAGCAAAAAGTTATTCGCCTGGCCAAACTGACTACTTTGCTAGCCGATTAACTCGTAAGATATCAAGCTAATCCTATTAAAGGGGAAGGCAATAATTTTCTTGACAATATGTTCTCTTTGCCCCCATTAGGTTGAACACGCCATTCTGATTCATACTGCGTTTGTGAAATATGCTTTAAGCAGAAAAATCCATCTCAGAGGGTGGCCATTCTGTTACTTGCTGTCAACTGAAAATGCCATCGCAGTTCATGTTCAATAAACAACAACAGTGTACAAGTGCTCAGGTAACACCTGTCATAGCTTACTTGTTTTCTGGATTTGGTCATGTGACTATCGCAAGCTGAGCCTAGAAGCATTGTGATGCCATTTTTACTCAACAGCAGGGAACAAAATGGCCCCACCCCGAAATGGATAAAAACGGGTGGAGTTTTTCTGCGTAATTCATATTCCACAAACGCAATATTAATTGGAATACGGTCTTTAGACGAGTGGGATTGCATAGAACGTATTGTAAACAAAATGTTTGACTTGACTTCACCTTAAATTAACTAAAATAGTGAGTTAGGCGTATTATCCAGCTCGTTTGCTGGCTGACCAACGAGCATGCAAAGTACAGTAGCTTTAAAGGATTTCTTATCACATGACTTAGCTACTTTTCAGACGTGTTCAGCTCTGGATGTTTTATTCATAGACGTCTTAAATAAAATCGCAGACTAGGTGTGTAAGCTGTGCATCGCATCAACAACCTCACTTAAGTGGATGCACTCAAGCCTCAGATTGAACCTCACACGGCGCAGCTGCTAACAGTCGGATGCTCCCCCCCCTCCCCACCCCATTAGAGTACCACTCTGATCCTTTGGGTGCCTCTCATCGTGACTTGTGTGATCCAGCTGATCTTTTCCGCCCGCTGCCTTTCCGTGTGCGTCTCCTTCCTGGGTTTGCCCTGCTGGCCGCACAGGAAGCGGCCCCGAGAGGTCCGAGCCGTCATCAAAGCGATGAGGCCGCTGGAGGAACCGGTTGAATCTCGTGTCAGCAAAGCGAAACAGCAGAAAGAAACTCCCCCTCCGCTTCCCCCCAAGCGCTACACCGAAGCTCCGAGGAGCTCCAGTGAACCCAGAAGACCGGTGTCACAAACGGCCAGGCAGCAGCGCCGGCAGCCTCCCCCGCCGTACTACAGGAGCCTCCCCCCCGCGGAGAGGCGGCCTGTTGCTGTTCGCCAGCAGCCTCGCTGGGAAAGGTCACGGAGCCCTGATGCTGCGCAAGGGAGCCAGCAGCCAATGCTGGAACAGCGCCACCTATTGGAGAGAGGCGCTCTGGAACGATCCAGTTTCTGGATTTAGTTGAAATGATGCCGACCGCTTTTTATTTCACAGTGGACCTAAACTTCAACCATAGACATAATGGCCACTTCTTGAGGTATACTTACACCATCTGTTGCGACCCAATACAAACAGTGCCCCCCCCCCCCCTCCCCATCAAAACTGAACTTTTCTTTTGACATTTCTCATACACTTCTCATTAGACGGTGCAGTTGTTCCTAACGTTGTGGTCTGTAAGTGTGTCAGTATTAGGGATGGGTGATTTAAGGGATCACGAAGCATTGATTGGATTGTTTGGAATTGCTGGACTAATCACGTCTTCAAGGAAATGAGTCAAACTGGCCCGCAACAAAGCAAAGGTGCTGTTGATTTATTCCAATAATTTGCTGTTGACTAGTACAACATGGAAGCATGGGAAGCCAAGCTATATCACAAATGGTCAACATTTATCAATATGCACCACTATATCATTTAGAACTAATTATGATACATGTATTTTTTTAATTTCCGCTATTTTAAAATGTTAAAGGAATGATTAAACTATGGTTGGAGCTCAAAGAAGCTTTCCAGTCTTTGCGCCTGACAAAAAAAAAAGTACCTCGTGAGGGTGTGTCTTCACCACCATTATGTGCGTTTGTGTATCTAGCTACTATTTTATTTATGCCCTTTTCAAAATAAAAAATTGAGACACGGGCTGCTGTGTTTACTTTTTGTAGAAAGCGTTGATTGTAATGCTACACGCGTGGTAATATTTGCTGACAGTGACCTGACAGGTAGGACTGGTTACACGCGCACACACATACACGCCCATCCACACTTGTTTCTGGAACAATTTGCAAACATTTTTTCACCCCTTTTTATCAAGGTGGCATGTAACATAATGCTTTTGTCATTGTATTTTTGTATTTGTTTTCTCAAAATGTTTTGATACTTTTGGAATCTCTTCCTGGCAAAATGGAGTCTTCATCAAATTACACCTATTTATATACTTCTTCTGCAATCAAGCAGGTCTAAAACTGACAGTGTCATTAAAAATGGTAATGAAAAAAATAACTGGTCCTTAATGAGTGAGACTGAAGTTCATTTATGTGTGATCCTGTCAATTTTGCCACATTGTCACAGGGCCTGAAGTTCAATTCAACCTTTTTTTGTTTTGTTTAATAACTTGTTTGAAAAGAAACAATGCACGAGGTCATCGTTTGTATCCTAATTTTAATTAGAACCATAAATGACAGAAGAGTCCACGCGTGCAGTTTTGAAACAAGTATATCGATATTGGTAATTCAGGTCCAATAGAACAAATCCTCACATGATTGTTTTTTTTTTCCCATGCAACAGAAAAGTTAGGAAGGATGCCCTTGCAGTGCAACGGCTCAATCGGAAGGAAGGAATAATTCATCCAACACAAGTTAGCAAGTTCATGTGAGGCAGTGACCATCGAAAACATTGTTGTTCCTTATCCTACCAGCAAGAGGCAGTGACGCTACATACCAAAAGCAAAAAAACAAAACAAAACATTGTTTGTTTTTGGGCGGAGGCTGGAACAAATAAATGGCAGTTCCATTCATTTCAATGGGGAAACCTGATTTGAGTGTGGTCATGGCACAAATTCTGGTGCAACAAGTTAGAGTTTGACTTGGCAGTCCAAAAAAAAAAAAATTAAATCACACACAACATGCGGAAATGTGAAATGCTTAATATGCTTAAACCATCATGAATTAAATGTGTTATTTTGGTGGGCTTTCATGCTTGCAAATTGTAAAATGAGTCAACACTCGGGTGAAGAACCACAAATATTTTTGGAACAGTTTTGATTGCATTCGCTCTCCTGCAGTCAAATAAAACAAAGGGAGAAAATGGTAATGTGCAGTTAGACTGAAGTTTTAGGGCAACACTGAGAACATGTCAAACTACATTTTTGAATGTTAAAAGAATTCATAAAAGAAAGATGCTACGTTATATGAACATCATTTTGATATTACCCCCCCCCCCAAAAAAAAAAACATATCAAATCGACCGAAGTCATTTTCAGATTTAGTTGCATGAATGAAAGCATGTTAAAAAGAAAAAAAAAGCATGGCACGAATAACGTAATGTGACGAAAATAGTCATATTGTTACGAGAATATCGTCCAAGTTATGATCTTCGAAGAATACATTTGTCATATTACATAAAAAATAGGCTATGTGAACATGCTGAGTTGTGGAGTTCCAAGATTGTCAAGTTTTGAAAATATAAAGATGGAATGTGATGAGCAAAAAAAGTCAGTTGGAGGAATACATTCCGAATATTTTTGGATATTACGTGGTACAATGGAATAGACGCAATTTTCTGTGTCGTACATTTAAAAAAAAAAAGTTGCAAACTTGAATGGAAATTAACAGCAAAGATTCAGACATAAATCCAATTTCTTTTGTCGAATTGACTGATAATTTCTCAATTTATTTTCATTGAGGTTTTTCCTCATTAAATGGCGACTTCCTTCTTGTACTCCTGAGCCTTTTTTTTCCACTGTGGCTTTATAATACTACTTCAAAGAATCATGGTCTTTCCTAGACCTCAACTTAGCATTTTGCTGAATTTGCAGTGCCGAGTGCCTGTATGCTCACGAGCACTTAAGATTTTAGGACTTGTAACGCACACATCAACAATTGCAAATCCAACGGCTCCAATTGTACCACTCCGAGCAAGACATGTCTGAAGATGCTGCATGCAAACGCAGCCGCTACTTTGGAATTCGCAATAAAATACTGGACTAATCTTGTAAAACGTATCCCTTCATCTAACTGCCCGCTAAGTAGGCTAATCCAGGAGGTGGTTAAAGCGTTCCCAGTGATGAACGAGCCCTTAGTGAGTGACCTGTGAGTCAAAACAAGACAAGTATTTATTTTTTTCTCCTTACAGTGCCCAGTTGCAAAAGGATACCGCCGTGCATAAAATCCATTTTTTTAGGCTCATGCAGTGCTGATGGGTTACAACTGTCTACTTATAATCTGAATAATACTGTTAAAATTAACATCAAGCATTCCATACTTAGCAACGTGCGTACACACAATCAAACTTGATACTTTGCAAACATAAAAAGTGTGCGTGCTACTGTGCGTTTGTTTGTTCATATCAAATGCATGATGGGTATTTCACTTCAACCAGCCTTCTTAACGTTGCACTTTGTCATTTTCTCTCCATCGCTATAAACAACAATTTAACAACAAAGTTATGTACAAATAAAATGACATGAAAGCATTATGTACAAAAAATATGGACAAACGATGACAGCAACAGCCATGTTGGTTCTTTGCTCCTCAAAGTAATATTATCGTATTTCCTCAACTAGTGGCCCTAGCGTGATGTTTAAACCCCATTGCGAGTCAAAACAGCAGCGCCTAAGCAGTCTCTCAAATGAATTGGAGTCTGGAGGTTGACAAATTCAATGCACAGATGATCAAACTGTGGCGTGAAAATGGCTCCTTCGGCGATGATTAGCGCACGGTGAACATTAGCGCTAAGTGCTGAAACTATTTGAACTCTGTTGCTAGCCAAACAATGTTGTGTGCATCCACGACCTCGTTGAATCTTTTGCCATCATAGTTTTTAAAAAGGCTGTCAATTGTAACTAGAAATGTTTAATATTGTTCCAAAAAATGTGTTTGTATAAAGAAAGGCCTCTCCCTATAACCGTGCAGTTAAGTAAATAAATGCCCACACCACCATCTGAGGAAATAATTATGATCATATCTGCATAATAGCATCCCAAATAGACTTCAAATTAATTAAATGCAAATAAACTTAAAAGCAACATACAAGTTACTCCGCGAGTTTACGCTACATAATACTGTACTGCCTTTGCAAATGAGCTTCATTTTATGATACACATTTGACATTTATATATATCCATAGATATATATATATATATATATATATATATAGATATGGATATAGATACATGATATACAGGTGTGTGCTGGACAAGACACTGCTCAAGTTCGAGAGCAAGAGAGCCATTTAGGAACATGAGCCGCTCCCATTGACGCCTATGTGTGTGTCCTTTGATATTAGCCGACATATACAGAAATAAACAGTAAGATGACGGTGATACGTTCCTTCTTATATTCCCCGCCCCCCCTTTGAATACACAAAAATGCGCACAAAAGGATGCTGCACATTAAAAAAAAAAAAAAAAAAAAAAAAAAAAAAAAAAAAGATTGGGGAGAACCATCATGCATTTATCCCCAGTGACTGTTGTTATAGCAACAGAGAGGGGAAAGGAAGGGGAGGGGGCCGCCAAGCAGGCTTCCTGTATGGGGGGGGGGACAATTGGGCAGGGGGGCTGTTCAGAACTGGGAGGCTGAGCTGGGGTCACACTGGAGTAGCCGGACGATGGAGGGGTCGCTTTTGGCTCCTTTGATGAACTCCTCCAGGGACAACTTGCCTGCAGGGATGCACGGACAGTTACTATGGGGCAGTTACGGTCGTGCTCCACGAACTCAGCCTGGCAACAAGTTGGATTTGTCTCCGTGTGGACGAAATACTACTTCATCAAATAGTTTTTCATTTGAACCATCCGATCCATTTTCGTCCATATCTCGAAAGCAACCCTCGCAACATGCGGACACTTTAGCTCGAGCGGGTCACATACAGGATATGTTAAATACCTCACCGTCATTATTGAGGTCCATCTGTCTGAAGATCTTATCTGTCCTCTTCTCGGGCGTGGACTCGTCCTCGGGCATCTTCATTACGGAGGACACCATCTTGTAAATGGCCTGGGGGGGGGCACACAGTCGAGGGAGGGATAGAAAAAGATGAATAGCAGTCCATGTGCAAGACGCTGATAACGGGTGTTGTCGGGGTGTAGGTTATTGATCTGACGCATCTTTGGGTCCACTCATATGACCGCTGCGCTCCCTCCGGTGGCATTAAATTAACCTCAGCGAGGTAGCCCGCGGCACACGTCCACAATTAGCTTACAGAGCCATTAAGATGGCTCCTGGGGGAGTGCGCAGCGTAAAAAAGACAGTAGATCAGTGGGACACCTCAAGAGGGGAAGGACGTTGGTGTAAATTAGACCCTAGAAGTGTCTCGGCTCCAAAAGCGGGCCAGACAACATTGGATTACTTGGGTCATTTGTGCCTCTTAAAAAGACCAGAATTCAACGTCGTCTACATCCTACCGAATGCTCTTTTTTGCTCTTTGCTTGTTGTTAGAAGGACCTGGTCCTGGCTCATGCAGTCATGGAGGATGAGGTCACATATTCAGCCCTTTTGGATACTGTAGTGGAAGGAGATGGTTCTATGACTTTTAAAAGAGCGCTACGACTTATTGCTGGTTGTTAGCCGGTTACTTCCTGGTGCATGGAGGGAGACTTTAAGAGGAGACAATCAGGATTCCTCTATTGTGGTCGAGGGAAAGGTTACTTAGTTTCTTTCATAAGTTGGTCAAATGTGAAATATAATGAGCATTTTTCTGCATTGGAAACCGCCCGAGTCCATAAAAAGAATACAAAGTGTCACGTGTAGAGTCTATTAGTACGTACAGTGTGTGTGTCCAAGTGTGTCACCTGTACAATCTCCAGCATCTCCTCGCGACTGATGTAACCGTTGCCGTCCAGGTCGTACATGCTGAAGGCCCATTTGAGCTTCTGCTCCAGCTTGCCCCTCGACGTCACGCTCAGGGCAATGATGAACTCCCGGAAGTCTATTGTGCCGTCGCCGTTGGTGTCGAAGGTTCTGAAGACGTGCTCGGCGAACTTGGACGCGTCGCCGTACGGGAAGAAGTTGGCGTAGATCTTCTTGAACTCCTCCACATTCAAAGTTCCGCTGGGACAGTCCTTTAGGAAACCCTTTGGGGGCGGAAAGCCGACACGGCATCAACATGAAGGAGCTCCGATCTGGCAACATCAGCTACTTCACAACGTATAATTGCAAAATCAAAACTGGAATCTTTGGCTAACTCTCATATATTGACTGGAGGAAAAGTAGCTTCATCAAAAGCAATTCCAACTCATTTTCCATGAGTCACGTTTGAGATCGAAGCATTGTACTTGCGCAGAGAAGGAAGTTGAGGTCAGTTCACGCAAGTGAACAGTCGATGTTTCCGCCAATAGTGAACAGGCGCAGTCTGTTTTGACACCACGACATTTCTTCATCTTTATTCAACTGTCTTCATTTCTGAGGACAGCAATGTTTTTAACCTGGATTTTGACGCGGTTACATTTCAAGTCTGTTGACAACTTCCTCCATTTGTGTACAGCATAACAGATAAATGCCTCTTCGCCATGCTTGCTTTGAAATCTGGACGCCACGAATTGACCCGAGTCTACAGACCTCATAGCTCGACTCGATTGATTACTTGATTGAGTAATTAATCAATCGAGAGGTGTCCCCTAATACTCACGAGATCGTAGAGCGCAGTTCTAGTCTAAGGCCGTTCGTTACTCACGGGCGAGCATCATCTGGGGAAGGTGACCTGATGTCAGCGGAGCTGAGGTCAAAGGTAAGCGAGGTGGCGGCTTTATCAGCGTCAGCTGTTCCTCGCCCAGCTGTGAGCACGTTCTCGAATGTATGCGGGTCTAATCCGTGCAGAAGGCATATATGAAAAGCATCACATATGCACGAAGGAGTCATGCGGTCAGGTCAGCGGGCCGTCACTTTTTAATCCAGTCTGGCCAGTGGATTAACACGTTGGGAGGGGATGGCGCTCGGCCCGCTGTCAGGTCACTTACTACCTCCGCCAAGGACTTTCAGAAGTTTTGACAAAAAAAAAAAAAAAACCTGGAAAGCTGATTTTCTTTGAACCTCTTTAGATGGTTGTCACTGACGACAAAGTCAATGCGTGTACACTAGCCTAATATGTGTTTGCAGCAGCGTCGCTCTATTAATATCTCAGAAGGTGGAAAACTACCAGGTCAACTACATCCCCCCCCCCCGCCCCCCCCCCCATTCCAAGTCTTTATACACAACAACTACCTGGGGCGGGGGGGATAAAAGGCCGCAAATGTGACTTTTCCAGCTTCAGTATGAAAATCTCTTATGAACAAAATGTCTAATACTCTTCTAATTAGTCCTTCGGTACATTTATGCAAAAATCTTCCATATTAGACACCGGTGGGTTAATATAGTTCATAAACCACAGAAAAAAATGAACATGCAATAAAAATAGTTTCACTTTTAAACTTTTTTTGTCAAAGATTAGAAGAATGGTACCTAAATGTTTGTGCTTTTACAGTCCATTTGCATTGGGGCCAAGAGATGAAGCCGCATCTGGCTGATGGGCGCCACCTACAGGTCTGGAGTGGTATACGATGACTTCAAAGCAGCCATTCCAATTTGGCGAGGATGTGGACGTAAGTGCACCTCCAGATTTTTGTTTTTTTTTATATTCAAGAATATTTTTCCTTTGTTTTTCATTGAATAATGAAGTTACTGACAAAATTTAAGTAGTTGGGTTTGCCAATTCAAAGACTGTTGCACTCGACTGATTTTCCACTTGAGAGATCTTCCGCATTTATTCCTCTGCATGGATTTAACCAAATGGGGCTCGTCCTATTATGTAAGCAGCATCATTTATTTATTTTACGGTCCAAGCTGTGTGTGAGGAGTTACCTTGTACCACTCCTGCAGCTCGTGGTCAGAGAACTCCGTGTTCTCCCTCAGGTCCTGCAGCATCTCTGGCCGCAGCTTGCTGTTCTGTTTGCCCATGGCGGCGGCTCGGGTTAGGAGGTGCAGGGCCTTTGTTTTTTTTTTTTTTTGACTTGACGACAGTGACTGCAGCACTCCTCGGGTTGCTGTTCACACCTGTCAATCACACGCAGCAACGCACAGCGGGTCAGCAACAGTTCAGCTGATGAGTTATGAGCGATTAATTAGTTAGCACTTTGGCAAGACTTCATAAACTGCTTCAAGTTTTTTCAAAATAAAGACAAAAGACGGTAGTCGATGTCAGGCAATGAATGTCAGTATTTCGCTGCCTATTCAAGGGGCTACGTTAAAGTTAGGGGAGGAGCTTCTCACATGAGACCAATCAAAGCCCTGCGACATAGAGAAAGTGCTTTTTGGAATCTAGAGGTATTTTTCAAATCTTTTTAGGCGATGTCAATGACTTGTGGGGGAATTTCTACATTCGCCCTTCCATAATAAATCGTCAGAGGTGCAGAAATTCCAACGTGACTTTGACCGACTTCTTTTGTGGTAAAACCAGATTCCACGTCGTCGCCAAACTAAACCTAATCCGCTCATCACACAATGTTATAAAACGCAGTCAACGGCAGCATCACATTTGCAAAACATTAAATAAATAATCCCGTGGCTTGTTGACGTCACACACGCACACGCAAACTACTGATCACATCGACGGTGGCCAGCTGTGTTTGTGTGTCAAATCAGCTGTGTGCTGTGATGCGCCTGCGTTCCTAATCTCCTTGACCCACAAAGCACACATTTCCACGGATGTAACAAAACTACACTCCTAAAAGAAAAAAAGCCACTCACGCGGCTGTTAATATGACACATCATCAGATGATTGTCACTCATTCAGAGTCGTGTCTCAAGTGCCGACTTTCCTGGAATAGCTGCTATCCCTCTAATGAACGTGTGCCCCAATTATTTTCTGTCGCGCTTGTCCTAATAAGTGTCGCAGGTGAGCTGGAGCATATCCCAGCTGACTTTCAGGAGAGAGGCGGTGTACTCGTCGCCAGCCAATCACAGAGCACAAGTATTCATACTCAGACCTCTGGACAATTTAGTCGTCAATATTCTTTTTTTTTTGGAAAGCGAACCTTGTTTCTAACCAAAACAGCAGCACTCAAATTGGCTCTCGATAAAGGCTCTCGAGATCCACAGTATCGATACACATTTTTTTCCAAAACATAAACCACGACAGACATTTTCACGCATGCATTCACAACCGCTGCACTTCCAAGTACGCGTAATGAGAGTCGTGCATAAGCGCACTTAAGCGTATTAAGCGCGTCGGTCGGCGCAGGCCTTAACCCACACACCTTGAACGCCTCTTCAGCTGGCTAATAAAATGATGGAGTGTGCATATTAAGTCACTCAGCGAGTGAAGCGTTGGCGTTGAGACTTGACATTGATGCTTGTAGGCATTTATCAAAGCACCTCGGGGAGTGCACCAGGAACCGCTTATGATTTATTGGCCCCTTGCCCTCCCCCCCCCCAACCCCTGAGCTTAACTGCGCCTATACGCTGTATGATTTAGCGGTCTTAAAAGAAACCTAATTATCCTCGGGACTATCTTTGGACCCTGAACCAATCTCATGGTTTTTCTAAGGAACGTTTATACAGCGCGGCATGCAGTCGAAAGGCGTCGGATGAGCACCAGACATCTCCTTGCCTTCGTTGTAACAACAAAGACTTCCTGTGTCCTCATGAAAAGTTTCCATTTAAAACACGAAACAATCAAAGCTCACGTTCGATTGAATCGCCTTGCGTCAAAAGTCAAGAGCGATCAGCGCAACTTCATCATGCGCAGCCTCATCATGAATGACGAACGTCAAAAGCAGATCAATTGGACAGACAACAGGAAGCACTGTGCATGAAACATGTAGTTGCGGCTGCAACAATACCAGGCCTTTCATTGTTGCACGACATGAACATGGAATGTGGCTGCTTCGTTGTGATCCTCTCTCGCTCGCTTTTCTTGCTGATGGTTTGGCTCTCCGGATTGCTTGATTGACATGCGGACATTTTTTTTCACAGTCTAACTTGGGAAAAGCGAGACTTAAACAGAAATCAGAAGTCACGGTGCTTCCATAAACGGCCACAAAAGAAGACTCGATATATTTTGTGAGCTTTTAAAAATGCACACGTATGTGGATAGAAAACTTGCTTTGTGTCATCCCCATGAAAAAAAAATAGAAGAAAGAAAACACTTTTGACATCTTTTGGTACTGCAAGCGGTCGCACAGTTTAGCAGCTTGGCCCTTCGGACTCCCGCATGGTGGCTGAAGGAAGTGTTTGACTGTGACCAAAAAAAAAAAAAAGCCTCCAAGTGCTAAATCACACAAAACGCGACAGAGCGTGACAGACGGCCCTCGGCCACGATTGTCCCCTAAATACACCCGCTGACGTCTACGCACCACTCCCTTTTTGTACTTTTTAAAGATTTTTCTTTTGACTGAGGAAAAGCTCGCCGTATGCTGTCGCTGCCGCTCTCCCGTCGCGTTTCTTTCCTCGCCATCCTCGGTCATGCTAATCTCAAAGCCAACGTCCAATCCTCCATACTGCCTCTTAATCGTTCATCTCTCCATCCTGAGTCGCAAAGCTCTAATCTGAGTCTCTGGTACAAGCGCTTGCTTACTTGTCGGTAGTTGTCGGCTCGTCGCAAATCGACGCGTGCGGACGCTCACATGCAAAGACTTGAACATCTGCTCCCAAGCGTTCTAAGCGGGTCACCGACATTCGCGCGTGTGACTTGATTTTTGCTGTGCCGTGGAGAACGGAAGAAAACGTACAGGGTCATAATGTCATCGGGGATCCATTGGACGCGGCTGTCCTCGCATACTGTTCATTTACCATGCGCGCATAGTATGGAGCGGCTTCATTTTGCTGCGGCTCCCTGGCATCCGGCATCAAACCATTCATCTTCCGCTATGTTTGATTTCAGCCAAAAAGTCCAACTGAAAGTACATTAGCACACGTTTCAAGTCATTGAAAGATGACGATATTACTTATTTACTCCCCCGACTGAGAGAACTCAAAGCAAGTTGAGTCGTGTCCTCTCGCCTGAAGTCGAAATGATTTCTGTGGGCAGCGGAGAGAAATAGCAGATATTAAAGCAGATCGACTGGAGGTGGGAGTTTTATTATGCCGCGCAGTGTGCGATGGCTCCGATAGACCGAGTCGCGGCAGCGGCGAGCCACTTGAGACGGAGAGCGGACGAAACGAGATGAGTGTGAACTTGATGAAGAAAAGCCCAAAAGATAAGCAGAATCTTGAAGCAGAGACGTGCCCGCTCGTAAGAGGAGGAAATATTGCTTCGGAATAAGGATTAAAAGCGCCATTGCGAAGCAGACTGAGCCGCTGGTGCAACACGAAAAGCAACACCGACAGGCACCATTGATCCCGCGCTTTCTCGACCAGGGCCACCTGAGACGACAACACCTTTCATCCATATTTTTTTCCTCCTCCTCCTCCTCCTCCTCCCCACTTGCAATTTCACATCATTTGGCCGGCACTATTTTTCATCTTCCTGTCGCGCCGCCTGCGTCACGGCGGAAGAGAAGCGATCGCCCGGCATTGTCTGTCTGCCGATGACTGTAATTATACGCGCCGCACAGCCACTTTGGGCCGCATCGTGCCGTGTAATGGCGGCCATCTGAGAAGCGATGTCAATACTTGGGCCTTTACTGCAACCGGCCTCAAAATCGACTGCGACCTCCCTTCGCTATAAGCCAATTCATAGTCTCGGTTTCCCTCGGGGAATGACTTCAAAATCATACTTGGGTCCAAAAGAACCCAATGATATCCACCTTCAAGAAACAAACAACTGTCAGCTGGAGACATGATATTACTTCAGCAAACAATTATACCCAAACGTTACTAATAGTGGGGCCGCTACTGCTATTATGTACGAAACAACGTGAAAGCATTTTATGAGTGCGGTTCCGTATGCTTCCAGCCCTCAATTCTCCATTGCGGTTGCGATAATGTTGCCGAAAGGCCTTCATGTCCGTCATTCATGTCCACTGCGACCGAAAGAGGCGGCGGGATGAGATCAGAACACGCGGTTAGCGCTATTGAAGGGGAAAAAAAAGGACGTTAATGGAGTGGTTAAAAATAAGAATGAGGACTGGTCCTAAGCGTGGAGCACTCTCATCTCTCCTTCCACATCCCCATAATAACTCCATCAAAGAGGGAGGGCTTAATTGCACGCGTACCCACACACCTTATGCCACTGAAAAGGTCGCAACTCTCGGTTGCTTTCTTTATATTTGAAGGTGAGAGCAGAGAAGAAGGTGCATGTAATGGCGCCCCATTGAAGTGCTGAAGGAAAATGATTAGAAGGCTTCAGAAGTTGGCAGGAAGCGGATTCGTCAAGGAAATTGCTTGAATATGACTCACGCACGCAAAAGGAATAAGGTGGATATCATATATAGCGAACCCCCACCGATCACGGGGACATATGACAGCCCCCCCACCACATATATAAAAAGCAAACTTTTTTAAAACACGTTTTGAACATATTTTAACCCACTCGAAAGGTTGCAAGCGGATATGTATCTTTTCGAGGCGGGGCCTGTCTGGGCTTGAGCTGCGGCCATCAGCGGCTCATTGCGTTGGTGTTTGACTTTTCTCCCAGCATGAAATCCACGGCCACTGTGGCTCTCCTTTCCCACATGAGGATGTGACGGAAAATGTAGGATTGTTAAAAACCACTCATCCATCCGCCATTAAATAAAATAAAAAAAAAGGTTGGGAAAAATACACCACAGACTTCAAAAGCAGGACACAAGCGGACCACTCTCTTTGTGAACTCAGACCTCCATCCGAGAGAAGGTTGACCTCATTTCCAACGCTCCGTCGACAAACACCAAAGTCTAATACCCGCCTGGAGCATCATCGAGCGACAGCATGTGGTTACACACAGCAAACGCGACTCTCGGAAACATTTCTCGATCAACTTGACTGCTGTGACGAGAGCTCTCCTGAACGCGCTCATTTCAGGCGGTATACCTTCATTCTCGTTGACTTTCCGACCTGACGCTCTTCTGAAAGATGGGCCGCAGCACAATGCCTCCCTCCTTAGAGAAAGCGAGAGATGTGAATAGCTTTGCGCC